GCAATAAAAACTGTCACGATCTATCAATATTGTCTTTCGTTTCTCCAAAACTTAAGCAAAAACACAAAACTTTAAAAATCCAGTCGCACTACCCCTAAAAAAACTAACCCCTTTTTGGGGTTGCGACACTTTTCTTGCATATATTGACTCTCAGTAATTTAAGTTAGTTTGTTTGATCTAACGATAATGCTGGTCAATGAATGACTATTAATTTTTTGTGATAGTAACGACAACATACAAGCCTAACGAACGAGCATAAATATCCGTGTAGTGAGTTTACTAAGATTATTTTTGACACGAATTAGTTATTTAAAATACAAAATTAATTTTAGAAATAAAGGTTTTATTGATTGGCTAAAATAATATAATAAAACATTTAATAAATCTTTGAAATGTAAAAGTTAAAAGACAACATTGTTAAAAAATCATGAAAAAACAATATTATAATTAAAACTGTTAGTAAAATAAAAGAAATCAAACTAAAATAATTCCCGCACACTCTAGATCAAGGTATGGTCTTGAAGAAAAAACAAATTCAGTTGTTACCGCCAAGCTTTCGACCTATTTTAAAGTCATCATCAGGGCCATAATTGAACAGGCAGTGATAATTTACTAACTTTTTCATCTCAACCAAGACTTAGATAAAAAATACAATTAATTGAAATAGTAAATCCCATCAATTAAGACTGCTAAACATATATGGATTAATATAATAATTAAACTTATGATTCTTCCTTCTTGAAGGTGGGATAATAGGTCATCTCAAAAAACCACAACCAGTTTTTATCCAAAACGTTTCGGATTTATTTTAATCCTTCCTCAGGTGAGTTAACGCCTGTACACAGAACAAATATTTTTTACATTTTTATATCAACATGGTTATCATTGTTTCTTCACTGCTTACAATGATTAAAAAAGTGGTCGTCAGTCTTTAATATTTTTTAACAATTTATTTTAAAAAAGAGCCAGTGTGGTACTTATTCAGACTAGAAACAAACGTTTTAATATTTTGAACTTGACTAGACTCTTATCACAACCTCTCATGTGACGTTCGACCTCTTATCAACATCTTATCACAGACCAAGGAATCAACATTAAAAATACCGCTCAACAGTTAAAATTGCATTTTCCTTATAAATCTATTTTTAAACAACAAATTTTATTTATTTTATTAACAATATTTTAACAATTATTATCACAACTATCACAGATTTTAAGTTTCCTCCAGAGTTTAAAATTGACTAGAATATTTTTATATATTGTTTAACAAATTAAAATAGCAATCACTTATCATATCACAACAGTCTTGACGGTAATTAACAGACAGTTTATCTTTTTTTTATGTAAAGGGCCTCTAGGAACTTTCGTTTTTTACTATTTCGTTCCTTGTAACAATATTAACATCATCAAATAAAAAAGACCTTCAACAACTGCATGTTGTGCCAAGGCAGTTTAATTGTTTTTATTAGTTTGGACTGTGTATTTATGTTGATAAATTCTATTCTTTAGGTATTGTTTGGTTTCACCATATTATACTTTCTTGCAGTCTTTGCATTCAATTTTGTATACCAGGCCTGATTGTAGTCCTTTCTCAATTTTATCTAGCGGTGAGTAGTATTTTTTGACCGCATTACTGTTTCGGAAGAACTTAACTAGAGGGACTTCCTTTTCAGACAACTTCTCAACTGTTCCGATAACCCTTGGATGTAAGGGAAAGTGACATAGTCAATTCCAGAATCATTTTCATCTTCTAGGTTTTCCGAGTTTTCGTTTGGGTTTATCTTCCATAGATTGTTATTGTTTATAATTTTTTTTTTTTTTTGCGTTATGAACTATGCATATTAGTTAACTATGCACGCCAAGTATATGTGTGTTCAAATTTGGGGGGGTTATTGTGAAAAAAGAGCCAGAGGCGACGGTGGGAATCGAACCCACGACCGCGGCGTGAGAGTCTCTCATGCTAACCACTCGGCTACCGCGGTCCCCCAAATACCCATTCTTTTTTAAAATTTCCCGAACCTGTGTTTTGTCTTTCTTGGTAACACCTTTCGACGACAATTGAAAACCCTTCTTAGTAATCCAATCAGCACATTAACTTTAGTTGACCATGAATGGGGGAGGACATTACTGTATTAGCCGGTTCGATGCCATGGGTTTGGAGTACCAACTCGTACTCAGATTTCCATTAACCTTATGTGTTACTTTCACATCCAAAAACGCTATACAACCGTTTTCCTCCACCTCACAGGTGAAGTTTAATCATTCGTGGTAACTGTTAAGTATTTTCAGTACCTCATCAATTTTATCTATTGGAGGGGCCGTCAAAATGTCGTCGTATAAATACAAAAAAAGGAGGGAGGGCAAAATCAAGTTTCGCCAAACACACGTTCAATAATTCAGACATCACCAGATCAGACAGCACTGGACTCAACGGATTCCCCATTGCCACTCCAAAAATTTGTTTATACGTTTTGCCATTACATTGCAAATAACCAGAAGAACAGCAAAATTTTAGTAATTCAAGAAATCTATCTTTCGGTATACATGTGTGTTCTTCGATTAATGGCCACTTATTGTCAACATTTTCTAGTATCAACTCAATGGGCAAGTTAGTAAACAATGCACTCACGTCAAAAAATACCAATTTATAATCATTAGGTAACTGAAAGTTCATTATTTTCTCTTTAAATTCAAAAGAGTTAGATATGTTATATGAATTAAATTTTCTAAAATGGTTCAGGGTTTTTACCAGAAATTTTGACAACTTGTAGGTGGGAGAGCCAATACAGCTAACAATGGGCCTAAGTGGGTTGTTTTGTTTATGAATTTTCGGCAAACCGTATGCTCTTGGCACAACCCTGTTGTGGCATTTTAAGTGATATGCCTGTTGAGGGGACACAAGCCCGTCCTTTAATAAATTAGCAATTAGTTTATTGTTTTTCTTTTGAATAATAGGCGTGATATCTTTTCTAGACAAAATGTAAGTATTTGTATCACCTAATAATATTTCCATTTTGTCTTTATACTCTTTATTGTCTATGCGGACCGTCTTATTTCCTTTGTCTGATCTAGTGATTAACACATCTTCATTATTTTTTCTAAACTCATTCAATATTTTTACATTTTTCTTAATTTTAAATTCGTGTCTGTCCAATGAGGTGTTTTTATTTTTATTATGAAAGTTTGTTATTATATTTGTTATTGCCGCCCTAACTTCCCCTTTAAGTTTTTCATCTTGTTCTTTACTTAGGAAAACTTCCAGTTCGCCGATTGTGCCCATGACTGTCTTGCTTGTTAATTTACTTTTCACATTAAATTTTGGTCCAACTGACAATATTTCAACTACTTCGTCCGATATAGGCTTATCTGTCAGGTTTACGATCCAGTCCTGTTGGTCTTCATTGGGCTCACTAGAAATTCTTCCGTTTCTTTCATTTAATAGGTTATCTAGTTTTTTATTCAGTTTTAATTTTCGTTTCTTCTTTTCCCTATCAATGAATTCTCTCTGTTTTCTCCTAAATTCTACAATGATATTGGGGGGGTAGCTATGTCTCTTTCAAATCCTTTAATCTGGGAATAAGCAATGCTTATATCCAGGTTTAAGATTTTCTTTTTTGAGTTATAAAATATGGAATCTAGTTTTTTGATGTAAGTAGCTGCGCTCACCGGTAAAATAATAATTAAAAGAGGATAATTCGGTAAGTCGCCTAGAATCGAATCCTGAGTACACGAAATTTGAAAATATGGCAAAAAGAGGGGGAAAATGGGAAGGTTCTAAGTTGAGATGAGAGTTGGTGTCCGGGTGGATCGAAGTCATGATAGCTAAAATGAGCAGTCGGTTCGGGTTCCTCTTGTGACATTAACTTTTTCAATTCAACCAAGGCCTTAGATAAAAAGTAGACGACAAGGGCAGTAGTCCTCGGGATGAACCGAAATACAGAACTGACTGTAAACCTAGGTAAATATGTTACAGTTTTCCAGTCTGAACAACGCGCAAGGAGAAATAGGCTAGGAATGCTTCCCGGAAGATTGATTTTTTTTCTCTGACAGCCAGGCAGCACTCATAAGAGGCAAAGGCAAAGCGTGTTTGGTACTGCATGGAGGCCCGACGGAAGTCAGTGACATTAAAGATCTGACCCTGGCATGGGTTCCTGGGCACTCGGGGCATAGAGCAATGAAAAGGCCAAAGAGAAAGCCAACATGGACTCTCTGGGTCCTCCCTAACCATCCCTGAACCCTACTGCGGCTTAGCATCCTGCCACAAAAGAGAATACATCTTAAAATGGATCCGTAATAAGTCCAAAACCTTGTGGAACAATACCGCAGGTATGAGGCACGCGAAGAGATTCATAGGACCATCCGCAATAACTTACAAAAGAATTACTGGAAGGCAACTGCAACAGAACCAAGATTCTGGTTGGACTCCTGACATGGCACTGCCACTTAAAAAAACACATGCACCGGATAGGACTACAAACAGAAGAAACACTGTGCAGGTACTGCCATGAAGAGGAGACCGCAGAACACATCCTATGTTTCTGTGAAGGTCTATGTAGGTGCAGGTTCTTTCAACTAGGAGAAAAAAAGACAAGCAAGATCCTACACTAATGAGCCTTGCTATGGAGGCTGATTAACAACCTGAAGCTGGCCAGTGATTTACCAAAAAAAAGGGGGGAGTACAATAGATCTATTCAGGTCGAGTTGCAGTAAGCCTTGTAGCCGCCTCTTTTATCCCTATGCATATTCCTAGATAAAAAGTATAATTAATTGAAACCCTATATTAACTTGACCCTGACTTAATAGTTTTCCCTGTGTATGATTTTTTTATGAATTTACTCGAGAATATTAAAATGATTATCTCTTGTATCTGTTGTATGAATGGGAAAAACATAAACTTGTGGTCAAATGTTTCCTTAGCGCAAGAAAATAAATAAACCAAGTCAACAACTTTTCAACCCATTTGGTTATATTATTGTTTAAAATTAATTATCATGTTACAGATGGTGGCATTTTAGGGACTCGTGTTTCCTCTACATGGTGTTCGACTATGTGCCTGGAGGAGAGCTCTTTTCCTACCTCAGAAACGCCGGCCGGTTCCCGCCGAACACAGGTACGTAATCTGTTACGAGCAGCTCCAGAAATAATCCACGAAATGGCGAGAATTATTTATTCTGTCGCGGAACTCTGCCAAAACATCAGCTGTTGCTTACAGTTTTTCTGCCCTCTTCTTTCTCACTCCTCTTGCTTACGTTTTACGACTTTACGTTGAATCGGACAGCCCCTCAAAATAACTTGGTCGGTTCTAGATTTATATGCCAATTTTTTTTTTTTTTGCATTTACAGCTTGGTTTTCCCGTCGAGTAAGCATGTCACTTTTTTTGCAATTTCTCTGACCCGCTTGGAAAAATCCATGGTCGTTTCTCTTGATGACAAGACATAAAAGACCAAAGTTTTACGTGGAATAATAGAATGCTATCCTTACAAGACGATCTCACTTTCCGACCCAAAACAATAAAAATTATATAATTTTTTTAATTTTGTCAGTAATCTACAATCACATTTTAGTTTCAACATGGCCGATGAGTCAGGGAGGGTTATAAGCTGGTTTAATTAAGACATAAACGTTCTTTTAGACTAGATGCATCTGACGGACAAAATCGTGTTTCGCCATCTTCAGTTGGTGAGGTGTATAAGTAGGGTGTGGCGACACAGAAATTTCGGACAATGCCGCATTTCGGAATAAATGTATATTTACGATTTAATATTACGATTTTAGGCTACCTGCAAAATCATCCCACTGCTACCCTTACAATAAATAAAGAATTAAAAGCAAGAAAAAACAGTCTGCTGGTTAATGAACCAGAGGATTAGTCATTTCTGGCCGTCCAGGGCCTAGAGTTTTAATTCTCATTATGATGGCTTGGACAGACGCGTTTCGGCAATTCGCCATCTGGAGAGTTTGATTAGGGTTGTAAGTAGGTAGAAGACGCAAGATCTTCCAGACACAATGACGTGGCTGTGTAGTGAAGCGAAAGGATATGCTAGTTAATTCAAACGTTTTGATGACTTGTAAAATTCACTATTTGTTTGTTCGGTCAAAAGCGTCATGCCAATTCGCCATGTTGAGCGGTTGCTCAAGGTTATAAGAAGGAAAAGTGAAATAGGCGCCACAACGTTGCTTATGGGACGAAGAGTTTACGAGTTAAATGTAAGGGTGGTTGGGTGACCTGTAAAACACAGCATTCTGATTTGGTCAGACGTGTTTGCCATTAAACAATCTTAAGCAGTTTATCAGGGATATAAGGGGTTAATTCTCGGGTTTTGAGTGACCTGTAGAATTCATAAGCTGGTTCGGACAGACCGTTTCGAGAGTTTCAATGTAATAAGCAGGTAGGGACAAAAGAAACTCCATTCCAGGCGCGATGTCATTGCAGTAATGCGGATCGAAGTTAATTCGTGGATTTTGTTCGATCCATAAAATTGGTGACATTGGTTTGTCCTTATAAGAAGAAAAAAATTAAATGCAGAATCATGAGATCTGCATGTGATTACCTTCCTGATAAATACAACCATCCCTTAAGGTGCCCCTACACTATCAAGCGGCTTGATCAAATGCTTGAACCTCCGATTGATGGGAGCTTCAAGCGTGCTTCAATCTTTCGGTCAAAACTCCCTCGACCCTCATCAGTGGAAGCCGTGAAGTGGAGCAGTGCGTTTCCCTGTTTGATCTTTTGTTTTGTTTCGGTGCTGAATGGAGTCAAATACAGATTTGGGCTTCCTAGTCTTAACATTGGTTGCCCTGAAGCAGAAAAAACAGCAAAAGGAACTTTTTTTATTTCTATTGAAATAATCTTTACTATTTACTTTCCACAATTCGGGACAATCACGATATAAATTTCTCAACAAACTGATGAACTCCCGCTCCGAATTTTCGGGAAGCGCGGTTTCGGTAGTGGACGCCATGACTTCCACCGAGTAACTGTCGCAATGCTTGATGAAAATTTCCCTACACTATCAAGCCGCTTGAACATCTGCTTGAGTCATTCAAACTTCCTCAATCACCGTCAATGCTTGCTTCAAGCGTCAATCAGGTTTCTACACTATCAATCACGCTTGATACAATCGATTTACTCAAGCATTTGATCAAGCCGCTTGATAGAGTAGGGGCACCTTTACAATTTGGCCAAAACTACTAAAAGAACTAAAATAAATCTGTAAATTATGTCTTGAAGTTTAGCCGTTTCCGATAATCTTGATCTCCCTAGCCTCGCTTTAGCGAAATATGTTTCGGCTCGCCAGCTGTTTGTCCGGGTTATAAGCAGTGCGAGTTATTTGTTGAATTTGTGTTCTTTGACTTAAAACTGCGCTTTAGTTGTAAAATGTTGGGCGACCTGTAAAATCAACCTACTATCCTTACAGTGTAGCAAACAATTAAATGCAAATTGGTGAGTTTCCCCTTGATGTTTGCGAGGTAATGAACCAGTAGCCAGAGTCACTAATATGGCTGGTTGTATCGTAGTACATGAATAAAACCATTCTAATTTGAAAATGAAAATTAATGGTCCGCAGTGAGAGCATCTTCTCTTTTGAATAGCTTCTGATAGAAATCATTTAAGGTTACTGATTGCCATCGCCCTACGAGGACACGGCAAATGAAGAAGAATGAATAATACAGAGCATTTTAATGCGTTTAAAGGATAATGTTCTCAACTCTAGTAAATAATTAATAAAAAGTAATCATCTTTTTTTGAAATTTTGCCATCTCCAATCGTTTGTTGGGGCGATAAGCGGAGTAAGATACGAACTTCCATCCTGGTGAAAGCCGAAACTGTTCTGATAGACAAAACCATCAAAAATAGACGAATTTTAGCATTTTTACTACTTTTCTGGTTGGCTAGGGTTATAAGCAGTGTGAGGCATGACCCAAATATCCTTCCTGATAATAAGTTTGTCATACATCAATCGGATAAAACAAAAGAGTACTGGCTAGTTGAACTTCTTTTAAGTAAAATTTGCAATGTTTTTAAACAAAATAAACTTTGTTGCTTTCCATTTTCAGCTTTTAAGTCTGGTGTTTTAAGTAGGATAAGATCAAAAAGAAATTATTTTCCAAGCGTTATGACATCGCTGCGTAATGATGCAAGTTAATCCTAAGATTTTGGGCGTTGTGTAAAATTCACAAATTGATTTTCTTACAAGAATAAATGCAAGTCAGGTTTGTCCTAGATTTTTGTTTTATTATGAATCTGTAGTTGATCATTAATGATCCTCCTGATCCTCACAATACTGTTTAGACACCGTTCGGTATTTCGCCACCTAATACCGATAAAATAGGTTGAAAGCTTAGCAGTAACAACTGAATTTTTTTTCATCAAAACTATACCAGATTTTTCGTGAAAAATATCCAAGATTATTGAAGGCACATGTGATATATCAATGAAATCTTTTTAAGGAAAAAGCTTTTTGGTTAATTAAAATATTCCGTTGCCTTAAACAAAACTCGGTTGGTCTCATTTTGATTTATTGTCTTGATCTGCGCGGTGATCTGTAATTTTCATGGTACGATCTTGATTCACCTATTTCCTTCGTTCTCGATCATCCTGGTCTGCCTATCTTATGGTTATGTCTGTCAGACGTGTTCAGGCTTTCGGAAGTGTCTAATCTCATCCCGACCTTCGCCAGACCAAAACCGCTTGGATAGGTAGATAGAAATGAATAGAAACAACCAGATTCATCACCTCTCAGACCTTAGGCAATCTAAAATTGTATACATTAGTAAATAACTACGCCACTTCCGTACTATATCTTCCATTTACTGGCGAATGTTGCAAAGTGTCAAACATTCTTTTCCTACGTCAAATCCCAGGATGGATTGTACATTTTTTGTCAGTTGGTTCTGCTTATCTCGTTAATCTTCCTATAGGACGGACTGTTTGACATGCAGCATATTTGAAAAAATTCGGACAGTGTTCATTCGCATGATAGTTTTGACGTATCCTTGGATGTTTTCTAAACGAATCGGCAGATATTTGTATATTTCTAGCCCAATCCGGACTTTTTTCTTAAATCCCGTTTGAAGCATACTTTCAAATTGAAACAGAAAGTCATGTCGTCTGCTCTGCTGACAACCCCAGTTCAAGCCTCGTGTTCTAAATTTTTAGAAATTCATAAAAATATTTAAGCATTTAAGCGTTGTAGGTTGAGATGGGGAGTTGGTGCCCGAGTGGATCGAAGTTACGATGCTCAAGTGGTTAGAGCATCGGCGTATTGAGCCGAAGGTCGTGGGTTCGAATCCCCCTCGTGACACTAACTTTTTCATTTCAACCAAGGCCTTACTAAAAACGAATAATTCATTGAAAGATGTAATTTGGTCAATCAAACCACTAAACATAATGGATTTATGTTAAGCATTTAAGCTCTAAAGATAGAAAAATATATAAATTACATCTGCCATAAATTATATTCTTGAACCTAAATGTTTCTTCTCCATCAAATGTTATCCAAATTTTGCTTGGAATTTTGGATATTGGCCTCGATAATGGCAAAAGTAGACCTATCAAAAAGCCCACCAAAATATTATGTGTAATTATTCTTTTTGTTTAAGGTCTTGGTTGAGATGAAAAGTTAGTGTTACGAGCGGGATTCGAACCCACGACCTTTGGCTCGATACGCCGCTGCTCTAACCACTTGAGCTATCGTGACACTAACTAGGTCGTGGGTTCGAATCCCGCTCGTAACACCGGCTTTTTCATCTCAACCAAGTTTTTCATCATCTTTTTTCATCTTAAGCTTTTCATCTCAACCAAGACCTTAGATAAAAAGAATAATTAATTGAAAGAAGTAATTTGGTCAATTAGACCACTAAACATAATAGATTGTGTGTAGTATTGTTTTTTTTTTTTTTGTTTCTTCTGTCGTAACTGCGTTCTTGCATTTAGTCCTTTTTTTAAATCAGGGTCAAACTTTTTCCAGGCATGTTCTTCACGGCGGAGATCGTTTTGGCCCTGGAGTACCTCCATTCACAATCCATCGTCTACAGGGACCTCAAGCCGGAGAACCTCCTGCTTGACAGGGAGGGTCATCTCAAGATGACCGATTTCGGTTTTGCAAAGAAACTCACAGACAGGTAATCACCTGGTTCCTTTCATGTACATAACACTTTTTCATCAAACTGTTTTTCTGGTTATTTTCAGGACGTGGACGCTCTGCGGCACTCCTGAATATCTGGCGCCAGAGATAATCCAGTCCAAAGGGCACAACAAAGCAGTCGATTGGTGGGCACTCGGTAAGATTGTTTACGTTGCCACAATTAGTCCGTTTTTAGAAAATAAAGCGCCGTACAAACAATCTATTATTGAGCTGAGGTTGACAAGGTCTGCCAAAACATTTTGCACTCCCAATGGATTTTTATGTAAAATCTCTTTTAAAATGGCAGCTCGCCATTTTTCAACAGATTACTCCTTTGAATCATTTAACAAAGCGTCATAGCTATTTGTTAAATTTATTTACTACGGTCTCATATGTATACAAAAGGCTGGTGTGTACGAAACGAGAACCTCGGTAACATCACAGAGATCAGGCGAGATTTGGCATACACATGTGCCAACAAGGTCGCCATGCCAAATGTACCCTTATATAAAAGACGGTACTAAATCACTTGTGCCGGAGGTGCTGAGACGGAAACGATTAATAACATAATCTTTATATTTAGATATTGGAAGTTTCAGGTCATCCACTTTGCCCTGAAAAGCACATTATGGCACAATAGGGCTTGATTTTGAAAAAAAAATTTACCACATTTCGTGAATTTTTAAAATAAACAAATGTAAATATAAGCATAGATAAAACAGTATTTATGAACAATAACTCTAATAATGTTTTGAGAAACAAAGTATGGAATTTATATTTGACACATAATTCAGAAATCGTGAGAGCGGTCTGGTGTGATGTAGGTTTCAGAAAAACATTTTCTTTATCGTGCCAACGTTTCGATCTTTATTGAGATCATCTTCAGGGCCTGGGATTTACAAACATTGCTTAAATTTAACAAATACATGTAGGATGTGGACAAAAGTGAATTTATACAATGCAAAATATATTTTTTTATTATTATTATTATTTGAATTTTATTAATGATATTGGCATAGCTGCGACTGAGTTTACATGTATCTGTTCTGTAATTCATGCTGTATTTATCTCTGTTGATATAAACCATTTCTAAGACTTCAAAAATCCAAAAATATTACATACAGAACAAAACAAACATAAACGTAATTTCTTAGAAATGGTTTATATCAATAGAGATAAACACAGCATCAATTACAGAACAGATACATGTAAACTCAGTCGCAGCTACGCCAATATCATTAATCAAATTTAATATAGATAACATACATATATCATCACATTACATTCCACACTTCAAATATTTTTCACATAGTCTAATTGTCCAACAATTTAGCTTTCCTTTTCCTATTTATCCCTTTCTATATAATCCTGAAAGGATAATCTAGAGCCTCAAAGAAGCCGCCGTCTTATACAAAAATGTCTTTTTTCTATATCGACTTCCTTTCCCACCCCTTCAAAACCCAACGTATATAAATATAAAACAGGAAAATCTCACTGGCACTCTCAACACGACACGCAAGAATGGCACAATTACACAGAAGACAAATACTTTGATTGAATATTTAAAAAAAATAATAATAATAAAAAATATATTTTACATTGTATAAATTCACTTTTTCACATCCTAAATGTATTTGTTAAATGTAAACAATGTTTGTAAATCCCAGGTCCTGAAGATGATCTCAATAAAGATCGAAACGTTGGCACGGCAAAGAAAACGTTTTTCTGAAACCTACATCACACCAGACCGGATCTCACGATTTCTGAATAATTATCGATTAACGGTCACTAATAACCACACATTTGACACATTGCTCTTATCCATGAATATGTCAAAGCATCGATTCGTTTTTTGTAAAATTCAGTTCCCTGATTTGAATTCCAAACAACCAACATTTTGTATTTTGGATTTATATACGCTCAAACACATGTACGCACATACAAACTCATATATGCAGAATTGAGCCTACCTCTTCTCGCAGCCCATCGCAATTCCAGCTTTTGTAACTCACAAGAAATTACGAGTAGGCCTCGAAAATCACCCACCTCGGGTGTTGGCAATCCGGGGACAGACCTCGGTCTCACCCGTCCCGCCACGAGGTCAATTCAGCACCCAAAGCATTCATTTCCTAGACCCAAACCCATTCACACTCTTATTCATTCTTAAATACATCCCATTCGTTCAATGAAGCTGGTGGAGTACTCGATATACCTCCACCACCCATTACATCTATTACTAACCGCTAGTCAATGAGGGTAATCAATATTCCGTCTAGGTCCTCTCGCACTCCACAATCAAGCTAATAATAAATTCGGTCTCAACACATCCTAGGGACACAAAACTAAATACAATAACCAATGAAGGCCACCTATCAACCAATGCCTTTGATAAGCGAGAGTTTTTCTGCCGATCCGGTCCACTTACGCTGCCAGTTCCTTTAAAAAAAATTGTAACAACCTATGGTTTCGCAATTAATTATACACAATTTTTTTTTTAATGTGTGTCAGGCGGGATTCGAACCCACGACTTTCGGCTAAATAGGCCGCTGCTCTACCACTTGAGCTACCCTGACTTCAATCGCCCATGCCACAAACTTCTCATTTCGACTCCCCGTTTTATTGCAATTGTAAGCAAATTTAGCAATTAGCAAGAAAAGTTGGAATAAAACGGGGAGTCGAAATGAGAAGTTTGTGGCATGGGCGATCGAAGTCACGGTAGATCAAGTGGTAGAGCAGCGGCGTATTTAGCCGAAAGTCGTGGGTTCAAATCCCGCCTGTGACATAAATTTTTCATTTCGAAAAAATTGTGTATAATTAATTGAGTATTTTTATAATTAAGCATAACCTGATAAAATAATTTTTAAAAACCTATTGTTTATCATATCTATTATTTATTTAATTTCATTCCTCTATTCATAATCAATTCCTGGGAGAATGTGTTTTTATCATATGCTATTTTTAGTGAATCGGCATAGTTTGTAAAGAAAAATATCTATTTTTGTGTAACATCGAGGCAAGCAGGCAAGAATTAACATCAGGTTAGAGAATTAAAAAGGAAAAAGTAAGAAATCAACCCAATAGCGTGTTTTGCCTACCGGGATCACGTCTTCGTACTCGTAGAAACGTACAATTTCACAGCATTTGATGGTCGTCGGTCTTCCTGGTCCGCCTAGTCACGCATTATCGTTTCGACACTTAGCAAAATTCAACAGTTGTAGTTTTCCGTCCGTCCTTTATGTGATGACCTCATGCACACAATTTACAACTTAATAATGTAAAGAGATCTTACACGAATGCCGTTTTCACTCTCTAACTGGCTAATTTCCTTTATAAAGGACGTACAGAAACGAGAAATTGAAGGTTAAACTGCCGGCTCTTTATTTATCAACAAGTATGAACTAGTGTGCCATTAAAGTAGCCCAACTCTCCAGACTGATTTTGCCGCCAAGTTTTTACAGAGCAATCGCAGAAAAATGGAGATTTTTATAATACTTATCAAATTAATTGTTGTTTGAAGTTTCTGAAAATTTTGGCCTCCTTGGTGCAAATTAGCAAGAATAAACGGCGATGATTGAAAACTACCATTCTACAGGTTCATCATCCCGCAGACTTCAAGGATATTTATTGTGTTATGACAGCTACAAGAAGTACACTTCGGTCTTTCAAGCAGAAATACATACTATCAAAGCTTGTGCTGTGGAAAATCTCAAAAGATATTACACTGGCAAAAAAATCCTCATAACATCTGATAGCCCAGCAGCTATTAAAGCATTAGCATGTGAAAACATCACATCAAAATTAGTCAGTGAATGCATCCAAAATCTCAAAAACCTGGGGAAACACAACAACCTGATATCCTGGATGCCAGGTCACAAAGGAATTTTGGGTACTGAGAAAGCAGACAGTCTGGCCAGAGGAGGATCTACAAGACCATACATCAGGCCCTGAACTTTGGGATAACAAAAACAAATACAGAATCTCTATCTCAAAATGGATCCGAACAAAACAAAAGGAGAAGTGGATAAACTCTGCCGGCGCTAGGCATAGTAAACTTATGACGAAACAACCCTCACCAAGACTGGCAAAATCATTGCTGCAATTGGAGAGGGCCCAACTCAGAGGAGTGGTAGGACTACTAACCGGCCACTGGCGTCTGAGAAAACATCTACACAACATGGGCATATACATTTGCAGATTATGTAATGAGGAGGAGGAAACAGCCACCCATATCATCTTCGATTGCAAAGCAACACCTCAATGGAGATTTCGTACCTAATGTACGAAAAAACTTAGGGAATCAAATTTTAGCAGCGACAGAGAACCTGAAACTTCTAAGGAGAAGGATTGAGTCTATTGCACTGAACTAAGGAACTAGGAAGGTTCAATAAGCCAGAAGGCTGCAGTGCCTGGGGAGCACAAACCCCGCTTCCTAGTATCCTCTTTACCATACCATAATACTTATCAAATTAATTGGTGTTTGAATGTTTATGAAAATATTGGGCTCCTTGGTGCAAATTAGCAAGGATAAACCGCGATGATTGGAAACAACCATTCCACAGGTTCATCAGCCTGCAGACCTCAAGGATGTTTATTGTGTTATGACAGCTTACGTTTTGTTATTTATGCTAGGTGTGCTAGTCTACGAGATGTTGGCCGGCTACCCACCTTTCTTCGACAAGAACCCTTTCGGCATCTACGAGAAGATCCTGGCAGGGAAAATCGATTGGTCCCACCACCTGGACCCCATTGCCAAAGACCTTATTAAAAAACTGCTCGTACAGGACCGAACGAAGCGATTAGGAAATATGAAGGTACTGGAGTAGTGTCTACGTTAAATTAAACATCAGAACCTCGTTTAATTATTAGTGATTTCCTTTTGACTCAGAATGGAGCCGAAGACGTCAAAAGGCACAGGTGGTTCAAATCGATAGATTGGACAGAAGTCGTTCATAAAAAGTTAAAGGTGAGCTTTTTTTTGAGATTTTTTTGCAGATTGCTCACCCCGGGTTATTTTTCAGCCGCCGTTCGTCCCCAAGGTGAGGTTCGAGGGCGATACTCGCAACTTCGACAGCTACCCGGAAGCCGACTGGAAATCGACGCCCTCAGTCGGTGAGAACGAGGAAAGCCTCTTCGACGACTTCTAAGTCCCAAGGAGCCGGCGATTGCAAAAGAACGGTTTCTTCTCCTGTAAATATTGTTTGTAGAATACTGTGGAAATAATATTTTTCTCTAAGTTTTATTTTGTTTGTTCTTTTGTAATTAAATTATTTAAGCATTTCTTCTTTTATTATTTCATTTGTCCTTAAAAATTTTAATTTGTTTGTTTGTATTATGCTTATTGGTATGTACAGTGTACAATTTCAACAGAACAACTTAAATTCTTAAAATTCTGCTTATACACTTTGCCAAAGTGAATAGTTTTACTTTTTTTAGTTATAGGGAAAGGATTGAATTTTGCGGGGTAAATATTATCGAAATAAAATTGAGACTTTACGTGGTCTAATTGGTGTCGAAATATGTTTTCGAAGGTTAATGATTTGTTTTGGGTGTGTAGTTTAGGCAACCTTTGCTCCTATAGTCCTATCGTGTGCGACTGTTTCGATGCCTTTTTTTTTAACATGACCAGTCATCGTTAGTTTCCCGACCATAGCAAACAAATCGACGATCGTGATAATCAAAACTCTGCTGGACATGCCCAGAAAAATCGATTAATCGATTTCCACCCTCGCTTTCTTCTTGGCAAGCAGTTCTAGTCGCGGCTGAGGGGCGAAGTCGCGAAGATGTACCAGATCGAGGGGGTAATCGGCAAGGGGCAGTTTTCGGTCGTATACAGAGCCAGGTCGACGGAACACAACAAGTTGGTAGCTATTAAAAAAATACAGATCCAGAGCATGATAAGCCCAGACGCCAGGATGGACTGCCTCAAAGAAATAAGTCTTCTACAGGTGAGCATATAAAAGTACCGCCTAGAAATTCTTTGAGCTATTGACACTTTTTTTATTCCTTGTCAATTCACGAATTTCTACAAACAAATAAATATGCTATTGACACTGGTATCTTTTGAAGACTTTCTTCATTATTTATCACGTGACAGATCCCACCTTGTCGAAATGTTAACACAACAATACAGCATAAATACTAGTTTCAAATTCGAAAAATATTTTTATCAATTACTGTCATTTAGAAAGTCAAAATACAAGAGATCAAAAATTTAAAATTCAATATAAAACCATTAGAGTTAGAAAAAGAAAAACAATCAACTATTTATGCTTATTCATATTTTACCTACTATCAGTTTATTAGAAACGGATTTTATTAATTAATCCCTCTCAAATGATCTTCAAAATAAAAAATGCTACAGATTACTTCTCACTAGCTGAGAAATTACGCTTTCGAAACAACAAAAAAATTTAATAGTCATTTTTCAAACCCAATACCTGAAGTTCTTCAACCAGGTAAACGTTGACCCCTAGCTGACATGTTAACGACCAGTAGACATTTAAAATTATAAAAATATAATTATTCTGAAGTTTAAAACGTAATCAAAACGCCCGAAAATAAATAATTCTACCAAACTAAAAAGAAATTTTTTAAATTGTTTGCTTAATTGAAACCGGTTTCCCCGTTATTAATTTATTACTCGCATTGATAATCATCTGCGTTTAAAGAAATGTGAAAATGTTATCATGATTATTACTTTATTAAATATAATTAAATCAATAATGCGTTTATTATTCATGGCATATCTGTTTGGATAAATAGCAGGCGCAGTTTTAACTGCCCAAACCTTGCAAAAAAGTTTTTTGCAAATAAAACGTTTGTAGTTTGGTCGTTTCAGACCTACCCTCCGTATCGTATACTCGATGTTTTTGGTGTGTCCAGATCGCGGCTTCAAAAGAGCGAGTACAGGCGGACCGGGAAGATCGGAAACGACCCCCAACTACTGCCATCACCTCGAGTGAAAAACTCACAAATTACGAATTTATTTTACTCATTTAAAACTTTTTCACAGAAAGTGGCGAATTGTAACCAATTTTTTAACTTACAAGTTACAGATAATTTTCTTAAAAATCATAAAAATTGATGTTCAATCGAAATGTTATTTAAAGTGTTGTAGAGAGATTTGAATCTCCAAATAAGAAAGACTTTTCAATATTTGTTTAAGCAAAACAACTGACAATATATATTAGCAAAAATAGAGTAGAGAAGCTACCATTGGGTAATGGTAAGCATTACAAATCGTAAAACATCTCACTTTCAATAGATAGATATATCTATCATCCTAGATAGATCTGAAGGCCATTACCCTACCTGTAGGGCTTTAGCCTACCTAGAAGATTTGAAGGGATTCGGCGAGATGAGAGCTGTTGGATGAGTGATTTAATGTTGACTGGGAGTGATTTGTGTAATTTGCGATAGCTGGATAGGATGGCGTCGTGTACGAAGGGTATATAAAGGCCATTGTGAATGGTCACATTGGAGAAGAGCTGAATTCCTTAAGGATTTTGGATATTGCTGAATGTTTGAACGCTTCACAGAATCCAAATGTTCCAGACCATAAGCCCAGATCGGTTTTTGGATACTATTGTAACATAGAAGTTTGTTAGTGGATTTTATGTTTTGTCAATCGGTCTTCAAAAAGTTTTGTAACGTTTCATCAGCTCTAGTCTTTTAAGTCTGGTATGTGGATTACACGTTAGTCGCCTGTCGAGGTCTTGATGTATCCCACATCGATTCCAGTAGAAAGTAGATTTGTTGGTCTTTAGTTTATTCCTCTTAGCTCTGAACCATTGACCTATCAAATAAAGATGTTGCTGATCAAATAAAAATGGGAATAAATTAAAGTGTTAGAAGAGTAAATTGTTGTGTTCAGCAAAGGTAAGAACAGAAGTGTCGGAGAGCTATCCACAAAGGATGGAGGCAGGGCACGACCTTGTAAGACTCCAGCTTAGATAGGATCTATAAGGAAAGATTTCTCGCTTTCACATAGAAGCAAAGATTTCAAGCAACACATAGAGAGCACACAAAAATATTTGGGAAAAAATAGCAAATGTCAGCAAATCAATATTTCGGAAAATAAGAGTGACAGCACCAGTATAATTAATTACAGCTGTAGCAATTTCAAGTAAGTACCAAACAAATATAAGTACATAAGTTCAGCCGTTACTATAAAAAAGTTTCTAAAGCTGGGAATTTATTCTTTTCCCTGGACATGTAATTTAATATTTTATAACAAAACAAAATCAACATGTTCATCTGACGATGTTAACTTGAATTCGGTTTTTTCGTACCTTCTTTCTATTTGTTTACTTATACGAAGTTTACTCGTTAATGATCTTGGATGAAAAGGGGCCAGTGAAGAAAAGAAACTTAGACTTTCCTCTTTTTGATTGTTGAACGTACTAAAATGCCGTTATTTTAAGAGCACACATTCGGACAGGAGTTGGAAAGGAAGGCTGAACCGAAGGCCATTTGAATTGTGCACAAATGCAAATGTGATTTATTCCCTCCTTTCTTGGGCCGCACGTGGCAATAAAAATATAAATAAAACGTAATAAAAAAAGTGTAACTTTGTCTTTTTGGTTTATTTCTGAACAAAACAAGATTAGTTTGACAAAAACGGTCGAACTTTTAAAAACGACAAAACGAAAAATTCGTACGTTTTTATTTGCCATTGTATGATAATTTTTCTTTCATAAAATAACAAGAAATAAATAATTACATCTAACTTTTCATTAAAAATTCTATTCTCGTTCATTAAAAGCTGCAATTGTGCAATAAGAGCTTCCCCTGAAATTATGGACTGCCATGACATTTGTCTTTCCAAAATGGACGACCATCTTGATTACAGGACGATTTATTGTGATACATCCCTTCTGGCATAGATATTTACCTTTTCCGATTTAAGGATTTTTTTAAATTGATTTGTTTAATTTTTATAATTTTACAAACTTGAATTTTTTATAGAAGATATTTTTTTAAATCTTGACTATAACTGTTTATATGAAGTGCCACTTTTTGGAAATTTTTTATCTCTGAGAATAAAATTATAAACAAATCAAGCGACATAAAGAATCATTGTGAAAAAATAATATTTTCACTCTTTTGTCTAATAAGGGCTTAATTTAACAATAAAATTAATTTAAAATCATTGTTATTCCCTAAAGTTACAAGTAATAATGATTATTATTATTATGATAATAAGTCATACGAGGTTGAAACACAGATGCCTGCTTTTCAGATTTCAGTGAAAGCTCGCACACATGCCCTTTATGCAGAGAAAGGTTGCTCGATGTGTCCCACATAATAAAAGCTTAATCTTTTTTCAAAGATAGTTCTTACTCACAGTTTGTTTTTCAAAAATTAAACAACATACTCACCCTACCTTTATCATTTTTATTAATAGAAGCTTGTTATACCTTGACACCATATAGGGAGTGTGCAGGCATATAGCTGGATATGAGAATGGTTCTCAGGCATAGTAGTGCGTTTCTGGGTTCCCTGGTTCAATTTTTGTTGTATGTATATAGTTTGTCCTTGTTTGTATTTTGTAGTTCTGTGTTTGCGAGTGCATGTTTGAGGGTCATGAAATGTAGTCACCATCATCTGTGTGCTTAGGGTCAAGGGAGGGATATTTATGAAAGTTCTTTGGACTGAACTTTTAAATTAGGGAAAGAACTTTTATAAATATTCCTCCATTGACCTTAATTTTGATTAGCTTATTACTAGAGTACTCCACCAACAACCAGAATGAGTACAAAATGCATAGGTACAGATGTGAATGTATTTATTTGTGAGATTGTTTTCTGCTTGTTAGTTTAGGCTAGATTATAGTTTCCTTGTGTTCGGTGACGTAGTTGTTGAAAACCCCTGGAGCCTAACTCTATTGGGCGGATAGCAAAGACCCTCCCGAGCCTTTGGCTCTGGAGGAGTCTTAGTGGCCCAACCTCAACATGGGATAGCTGAATTCCAGTGAGGTAGACCCTAGGGTCAACACCTCAGGGAGTCACACTAAAAAATAATTTAAACAAATGAAGTAAGAATTTTTCACAATTAATACATAATAAAATTTAAAAAACAAGTATTTTGCATGAAAATCTAAAAAAAGGTAAGTTGGGGGGGGGGGGAGTTGGATGTCCAGAATTTTGGATAATTATCACACAAGAAACATATTTTGAGCAAATATGTCGTACAAAATTTTCATTTTTTCAACAATTTTACGACACTCCTTTGTCTCTGAGATGAGGAAAATTAGCTCCTATGCCAAAATTTTTTAGGCAGGTGATGAATTTTAATAAGAATTTTCTCCACCCAAGCCATGTAGTTTGCTGCATTTTGTTCTATCCTGCATACAAAACAGAAATAAGTGAAAAAATAAAAATAAAATAAAAATATCAGTACACACATCAAGAAAAACCTGTTTCTGAACATTAGGACAACACCATAAAATAAAATAGCACCGCCTTATGATATTTTAAGAACAAGGCGCAAGCAAAAGAATTTATTGAGTTGTTAAACAAATTAAGCAACTATGCCCTGCTTTCGACATACAAATAAAAAAAAATTTAAAGTTACACTTGGGCTAAAAGAACAATTATTATTACACACCAATAGGAACATGAAAAGTCAATAAAAAACATCCTTTTTTTAATTCATATTTGTATTTTTGCTTTCATATCCAGGAATACATTGCTGAGTTAAGGGGATTAAACCTACCTTACACTCTCAACCTTAAATGAAACACTTTTTTTTATAATTCACCAAGAAATAAATTATTTTATTAATTTTAGAATTAAAAAACTGTAAGATGAAGATAAACTGCTAAGAGCACTCATGTACCCACGAAGGTTACCGTTTGATTTACTGTTCAAGTCTCAATTATTTTTCCTTTTTAATAACATTGATGTAATTAAACATGAGTCCTCGATATAAAAAATGATTAATTGATAATAAAGATCAATTAAATTTACCATTTACCAAGCTGCCACGTTTATTATTGCTTAACACGTTTATAAATAATTTGAGTGTCAATATGATAGTAAAGAAAGATTTGGCAACAAAAAGAAATTAATTTAAGCAATGATCAAGATGATCATTATGGCCTTCTGTCTAATTCTGTCTAGTTGATAATGTTCAGTTTTGATTAGGAGATGACGAGAAAATAATTGTGACTATGACAATCAATTTAAAAAAAATTTGTGTATGTCGGTTTGGAATCCAGCAGCTCTGTATTCGAACCCAGGACCTTTACCTTACAGTAGGTAGCGCTGTGTCAACGCCTAAGCCAATGCCACCAATTTTAACATTTATAATCTATTATATGCTTTTAGTCGGTCCTATTAATCAAAGTAATTACTTTAATTGTAATGCAAAGTTAGGTTGAGTTGATAAAATGGCACAAACAGGTCTTAAACCCACAACCACCATATCAGTACCCCGGTACTTCTACCACTTGAGTAGAAGATAGCTCAAGTGGTCAAATTTCAAGGGTACTGATCCAGAGGTCATGGGTTCGAGTTCCACTCATGACAGTAAATTTTACACTCAACCAAACAGCATAATAATATTAAATTAAATACTTTTTTAAAATAAATATTGCATTTTGCAGTCTAAAATATAAAATTTCTTTTTTATTTAAAAAAAAAAAAAAAAAAAAAATGAAAAACCATCCTTCTAGTAAGCTAAAACTGTTTAAGATATTGGAAACAGCTTTGTGCTTACTTGATTCAAAAATAACTTAAAAATTTGGTAACACAAAAAGCACTAAAAGATACTCAATCCACTTACCGATTCAACAGATTTACTTTATAATTAAGCTAATTTCAGTACAATTTTTCAACAGCAATTGGACCATCCAAATATAATTCGATACTTCACATCGTTCATAGAAGAGAATGAACTCAACATCGTCCTCGAGTTGGCAGACGCTGGAGACCTGAGTCAGATGCTCAAGCATTTTAGGAGGCGTAGGATGCTCGTACCAGAAAGGACCATCTGGAAGTATTTCGTACAAATTGCATCTGGGCTACACCACATGCACTCAAAGCGGGTTATGCACAGAGGCAAGTCAATTTATCAATTAAACAAGCTTAACGTTTAAACTATTTTTTTGCAGATATCAAGCCTGCAAACGTCTTTGTTACACGAGAGGGCCTGGTGAAACTAGGTGACCTGGGCCTTGGGAGATTTTTTAGTGCGAAAACAATAGTCGCACAAAGTTTAGTTGGAACGCCCTACTACATGTCGCCCGAGAGGCTTCATGAAGAAGCTTACACTTTCAACAGTGATATTTGGTCCCTAGGCTGCTTGCTTTACGAAGTATGCCAAATTTTAAAAATTGTCCATTCTGCTTTTTTATATTTTTGTTTGATTTTTAGCTTGCAGCTCTGCAAACTCCTTTCTATGAAAATAAACTCAATCTTTATTCCTTAACAAAAAAAATTGAAAGAGGAGACTATCCACCTATACCATCACCTATTTATAGTAAAAAGGTATGTAAAATTAAATTAAATTTTGACTCAATTTATTTCAATGATTATTATTAGCTTTAAATTTTCTTGTTAAAATATTCGAGGTGTCTAAGATAAACAAATATCTTGAAAGGACACACTCCCATATTTGTTAGCTCCACCACTTCTTTTGATTGGATTGCCATTGCGTCTCAGAATTATTATAATTGCCAAATAATTTCACTAAAGATTGTAATCATTTCCAAATTTCTAACATGTCATAAAATCTGCTGTCTATTTAAATATCGCTAAACTAAATTTGACAGAACATTAACTAGCTATATTGGTTATTTTGTACATGCAATAAAGTAATTATTGATGACGTTTAATGATAATTTTTACACTGAGTATTGATTGAATGATTCAAGATCTGATATATAGCATTAATTCTGTCAATTAAAAAGAGTGATAAATTGTAGTTCAGTAGTTCGTATTCGATGTATTCTACTTAGAGTTAAATTAACACTATTAAAAGTCGTCACTTTTTACTCTCAGTGTACAATAAAACAACCGTGTTTCCCCGAAGATTTGATACAGGGGACTAGATACTTGCTGCTGTGCTCAAGCATAATTCTCATATCTGGCGGCATTCCTACACACTCTCTATATAGAGCCAAGGAATTGTAGCCTTCAATTAAGTGGGACACATTGAGCAAATGGGTTTGGACCCAAAAGTAAGTGTCTGTGTGAATAAATTCACTAATTTCGTGGTCCGCTTGACCAATTAATATTACAAATATTTAAGGTTTTTATCTCAACTAAAAACCTTAATTATTTATCTGTGTGATGTTGATACATCACATGGCCTATTCTTAATTTTGTGAGGATGACCCTTCTGCTATGAGTCAGGTCCTCCGAGTCACCTAATGACAGTGCTCTTGATGCACAAGAGCTTCTCTGTCTTCTCTTCTGGCCCAGTGATGCTGTATTTTCTTTTAATTTTTTTTTCATTTTTAGCATCAGAGGACCCAATTTTTATTAGTCCAGTAGGTGGAAGTCCCCCGGCCTTAATCACCTTGTCGGTCTTTTTTCTATAAAAATAATCGATTTTCCACTATATGTATTTATTAAAAAAAAATACACATTATTATCCAGTGATTGATAATATATTTACAAATTTGTTTTAGCTGAGGCTTTTGGTGGATGAATGCCTGCAGCCCAGGCCACATGATCGCCCAGATATATCTTATGTTTATGATGTAGCACTTAGCATGACAGCCATGCCCAATTTGGCTCTTTAAGACCATTTTAATAATTAATTTTTAATATTGTACATATTTTTTTGAAACAAATAATATATTCTATTTTTGAAATTGTTAAAGATCTTCCTTAATAATTTTTCTTCGTTGGTTTTTGTCTATTCAAATGAAATGCGCTGTGTCAAAACTATTCAACCGTGAAATTCACAATTTCTAATGTGTTATTATTGAAAGCATAAACCATAATAAACGAGTTAATTTTTAGCCTTGATTTATTTATCCTGTTACTAAACTACTGAATTTAAACCTTTTTTTATGATAGAAATTTATGTTATTTTATTTCACCCCTCTTGGAAAGAAAATTTTGGCAAGCATTAATCATTTTGGTCATAATTCTATGGAATTTTAAATGTAACTAAAACTATTGTTGTTTTTTCTGGGCTTTAGGTGAAAGGAGAAACATAATTTTTAAATCATACAGTTCATCAACCTAAGCGGTTTCAATGACAGAACAACTAAAATTAAATCTATTTAATTCAGTAAGATCAATACAGTTAAATAGGATTTTTTTCTTAATTTGAACTTGAAATTTAAACTTTTAAGGGACATTGGTGGCCACGATGGTAAAGGTCCCGGGTTCAAATCCAGCAGTCCTGCATTTGAACCCAACATATTTACAAATGGGTTCTTCTTTTTTTCTTTTTTTTGTTTGTTAGTTTGTTGTTAAGTAAAAAGCAGCCTAAAAATAAAATTACAGGTTCATCACCCAGCAGAACACAGGAGGGTTTGATGATGGATAGGATGGTAATTGTAATGATAATACTAGGCAGCACTGCAGCCTTCTGGCCTATTGCACCTTCCTAGTTCCCTAGTTCAATGCAAAAGACTCAATCTTTCTTCTTAGAAATATCAGGTCACTGCTACAATTTTATTCCCTAGATTTTTTCTGCATTTTAGGTTAAATCTCCATTGAGCCATTGCTTCGCATTCAAAAATGATATGGGTAGCGGTTTCTATGTGTTCTGTTCCTCCTCTGCAGATGGGATCACCGTTGCATATGCCCATGTTGTGTAGATGTTTTCTCAGATGCTAGGGACCAATTCATAGGCCTATCACTCCTCTGCGTCTAGCCCTCTGTTATTGCAGCAGTGAGTTTGCCAGTATTGGTGAGTGTTGTTCCATCATAAGTTTATTGTGTCTAGATTTTATCCGCTTCTTCTTTTGTTTAGTTTGGTTCCATTTTGCGATAGAGATTCTCTATTTGTTTTTGTTATCCCAAGGTTCCGTATCCGATGTATGGTCTTGCAGATCCGACTCTGGCCAGACTGTCTGCTTTCTCATTACCCAAAATTCCTCTGTGCCCTGGCATCCAAGGTCGTTGTGTTTTCCCATGTTTTGGAGAATATGGATGCATTCACTGACTAATTTTGATGCGATTCTTTTACACTCTAATGCTTTAATGGCTGCTTGCCTATCAGATCTTATGAGGATTTTTTTGCCAGTGTAACCTCTTTTAAGATTTTCCCGGGCACAAGCATTGTTGGCATGCATTTCTGCTTGAAAGACCGAAGTGTCCTTCCCTAATGAGATCATGGTTTGGGCTTGCAGAAAAAATACCCAATCTGGTTCCTTCATTTGTTTTGGAGCCATCTGTGTACCATACCATTGAACAGAACAAAATTTTACTTACAAATATATACAATAGTAAAGTGGAGTTTCTGTCTAGCGACACTTCCCCTGACTAGTTAGAATATAACAAAAATTTATTTTTTACATTATTTTTCTATCTAGGGGAAAAATATTGATTAAAACCCCAGCTAATTTAGCCAATTTATAAGAGAGCATTCTTTTTTATCCTGTGCATGTGCCTGTCGTCCAAGCAATAGTTGCCTATTTGGCAACAGATTGTCTGGGTACAAGTATCGCATTGCTTAAAAAGTTTAATAGTTGCCTAGTTGCCACATTGTGCAGTTCCGATATGCGTGTATATCGGGGCAAGTAAGTTGCAAACCTCAAAAACTTGTTCTGCATAACCTGCAGCCTGGCGACATTAGTCACACATGTCGGGCCCTAGGAGGGGCATGCATACAGGATCATGGGCCACACCATATCATTGTATCTGATGCTCTCCTGAGGTCTTCCTCTCATTTATAGTTTGATGAGACTTTATACGATGTTGTAAAAAATGTTTCCGGGATGATGGATAGGAAGTGGGATTTTTTATTCCACAAGCACTGCAGCCTTCTGGCTTAAAGTACTTTTCTAGTTCCTTAATTCGATCCTCCTCCTGCTCCTGTGCTACAATTCTTTACCCTTGAAAAAAAGATCTAAAGGTATTTACTTTAAAATCGGAAATTTTAAATGTTGTTTCTTTACTTATCCAATTATGTACTGATTTTGTTGTTGTTGCTATTGTTGTTTTGAAGAGGGCGCGAAGCCCCACCACGGGTCTTTGCCGCACCGCGTGGCCGTCCAGATGGCGTGCTTCTCGGGCCTCGGCGGCAGCCAGTCACTGTCCGGACTCCTCTCCCTTTTCTGTTTTTGACCAGAAATTCCTTCCTTGTTTTCGATTCGTTTTGTCGGTCCGCTACGGCTCGCCTTTTCCGGCTTTCCTCCCCGTCTTGGGCCCGCTCTTTTTGACCGTGGACGCGTTTTCCACAAATCCGGCCGACGTTTTTCCCCCGGTCCGTAGAATTTCGCTTGTTTTCAATACATTTTACAACACCTCGGCGTTGTCTGATAATGAAAAAGTATGTGATCTTTTGTCTTCGTACCTGGTGACGAGAGGTCCTGCACTCCCGACGACCCTATCCACGTCGTATAACGGTGAGTAAATTTTACACCTGTGTTATTTATCATTTACATTTCTTTAAATTATTTTTTTAAATCCAAATTTCTTTTTTGTTGTTATTACTTTCACAACAAAACAACTCGCTTATTACTCATTATTATTACAAAGGATTGACGCCACGATTTTTTTTTGTCTAAAAATTCCACACCGATTTTGGATTTTGCTGAAGTTTATTTGTTAAACAGTTGACTCGTCCAGTGATTTTAGTCTAGTCGTTATTTTAATTGAGCCATGCCCACGCAAAGAGCGTGTTTACGTTTGGGGAAGGCGACGAAGGCGTAATCGACCACTGATTTCTACCTCCACATGTCCATAAATAAATACAAAATGAAATAATTTTATAAGAAAGAACACCCTAAATATTCCGTCGGTTACATTTTATTTATTAAAATTGTGGTTTGTCATGGTTTTCTTAAAAATTAACTTCACTGATATTTAACTTACATCAGGCTAGCCATAAAAAAGGGGGAAAAAGTGTCCTTGTTTTATTTGATTATCAGGGATTTTAATCGGATTAAACGATTGAAACAAATCCATTTTAATCGGTTTATCAATGAAGTCAAAGATCAAATGTTTATGTGGTTAAAAAATGGCATTTTTTGTAAGTGATTCTACTCATAGATTTGTTGTTTACAACGAAACGGATTTCGAGCATTAAACGATCATCGGTTTGAAAGAGCTACAAGCACGTCTCTCGACATGCATTGTAAGTCTTAAAAAACCGAATTTATTAATTGCCAATGGGTGGGATCAGATTAAAAGATTGAAACAAACCATTTTAATATGTTTGGCAATAAAACCAGAGATCAGATGTTTTTGTGCTTAAGGGAAAATGTCATCTTTAAGTATTACTCCATGTTGCTAAATTGGCTCCTGCTTATAGTCTTTAAATTTTCCTTTTGCTTTTTAATAAAAAATGAAATATACATGTACATACGTTAAATGAAACTCTATCGAATTATTTATTGTGGAATATCCCACAATTTATAAGCACATTAACGGGTCATGGAGTTGAGTTAATCAACTTTTTAAGTAATTTTTTTCTGCTGTAGTGTTGAAAATATTGTACAAAATGAGCCAAGTGTTTGTAAATCTAAGTACAGTCGTAAAAATTAAAAAAAAGTTTGTGTGTGTTTTGTTTTATTAAATATTACTGGGTGGGATCGGATTAACAGACTGAAAAAATTCCATTTGGCATTTTTTTAAGTGATTCTACGCATAGATTTGTTGTTTCGAACGTCCGGTTTTCTAGCATTAAACTATCATCAGTTTGAAGGAGTTACAAACGTCTCTCGACATGACTCGAAAGCCTTAGTCTCTGACCATCGTTTACAAAAAATGATTCTGCATACTCACCTCACCTTCATAATTTTTTTTGTAAATTAATTAATTGCCAATAGGTGGGATCGGATTAAAAGATTGAAACAAGTCCATTTTTGTAGGTTTGGCAATGAAACCAAAGATCAGTTGTTTTTGAGTTTAAGGGAAAATGTTGTTAAGTGGTATTACTCCATTACAACTAAATTGGGTCTTCTTCCTTATCAGTCTTTAAATTTTCCTTTTGCCGTCTTATTAAATAAAAAAACATGTTTTGTAATGAGACTTATTCTAATTATTTATTGTCGAATGTTCCACAACTTGTAAGCATTCTCGAGAATCTCATAAGTTTATTATGTGTGCTTTGATTTATTAATTATCAATGCGTCGGATTAAAATATTTAGACAAATTAAGTTTACTCGGTTTATCAATGAAAGCCAAGTGCAAATGTTTTTGTATGCAAAAATTCGCAGTGTTAAATGTTAGTCCATGTTGCAAACTTGGGATTTCCTTATCAGTCTTAACATTTTCCTTTTGCCTTCTAATAAAAACGTGTAGAGATTAGTGACCGTTAATGGATAGTTATTCAGATATCGTGAGATGCGGTCGGGTGTGATGTAGGTTTCAGAAAAACATTTTCTTTATCGTGCCAACGTTTCCATCTTTTATTGAGATCATCTTCAGGGCCTGGGATTTACAAACAATGTTTACATTTAACAAATACATTTAGGATGTGGAAAAGTGAATTTATACAATGCAAAATATATTTTATATTCAAACAAAGTATTTCTACTCACTCAAAGTGTTTGTCTTCTGTGTAATTGTGCCATCCTTGCGTGTCGTGTTGAGAGTGCCAGTGAGATTTTGCTGTTTTATGTTTATATATGTTTGGTTTTGAAGGGGTGGGGAAGGAAGTCGGTATATAAAAGACAATTTTGTGTAAGGCGTCGGCTTCTTTGAAGTGAGAAAAGCAACACACTTTGAGTGAGTAGAAATACTTTGTTTGAATATAAAATATATTTTGCATTGTATAAATTCACTTTTCCACATCATAAAAGTATTTGTTAAATGTAAACATTGTAAATCCCAGGCCCTGAAGATGATCTCAATAAAGATCGAAACGTTGGCACGATAAAGAAAATGTTTTTCTGAAACCTACATCAAACCCGACCGCATCTCTAATAAAAACATTTAAAAACCCTGAGAGGTCGTGGAGTTGAGTTAATCGATTGTTTATGTAATTTTGTGGTGTTGAAAATACTGGACAAAATGAACAACTGTTTGTTAATTTACATAGTCATAAAAATTACACACACCAAAAAAAACAAAAAAAAACCAGAAGTTTATTAAATGTGCTTTGTTTTATTAATTATCAAAGGGTGGGATAGGGTAAAACGATTGAAACAAATTATTTTAATAATTTTGCCAATAAAACCAAAGATCGGAAGTTTTTGAGTTTAAGGGAAAATGCCATTGTAAAATTTTACTCCATGTTGCTAACTTGTGTCTTCCTTATCAGTCTTAACATTTTCTCTTTATTGAATTGTTTATTGTAAAATGTTCCATAGTTTATAAGCAGGTCGAGGGGTCACGGAGTTGAGTTTATCAAGTTTTACGTTGTTTTTTTTTTCAGCTGTAGTCTTGAAAATATTGTACAAAATGAAAAATACAAAAAAAAACTTGAAAATTTCGGCCTACGATCCTTAAATGGAAATCTTACTACCGAACTTTGATCGCACAAAGCTGTAGGGCAAATTTTACACACTTTCTAATAACGAAACAAGTAAAAACACCTTTTTTTTTAATCTCGGCATTAGTCATTTCTTCCAGATATAAAACTATATTCCGGATGAAATCACGTAAATTGATTGAAATTTGTCTGACCAAAAGCAGGATTACGGATTAGAATGCCATTGTTAAGTATTAATCCATGTTGGTTTAGGACTTGTTTATAAAACTAACTTTAAATTATTGCCTTACATTCTCACAAGCTTAAATAAACATTCTCTAATTGTTTATTTTGGAATGTTCCACTGCTGTGCCAGAAAAATGGTTAGAACGAGATCAAACTGAAGAGAAAACAAATTTTAGACAAAAGGTTTTTTTTAAAATCAGTCTAACCAAAAGCCGGATTAAGGAAGAAAAGTGTATTGTTGAGGATTACCCCATGTTGCACTATTTGATCTTGCTTATAAAACTGTCTTTAAATTATCTCTTTACCTCTTTATAAGCTGCTCAATTAAACATTCTCTAATTATTTATTATGGAATGTTCCATACTGTGCAAGATATGGATAGAGAAATGGCTAGAATGAGACAAACCTAAAGGGTAAAAAGTTGAAAATGAAATGACTTTTACAAGATACAAGCTTTCAAAATATTTCTTTTAGTTATCCAGATTGCATTATTGATTGCACTTGTAACGACACTTTTTTTTATAATATAATTTTTTTTGTAGTCGGTCTATCAATGAGTATTTGAAGAGTCAATGGTTCAGGGTTCTATAACGAGATTTGTATATTAAAACAAGCAATAAATTAATATTAAATCCGATTTGGTTTATCATAAAGATATTGTCAAAGGTGAAAAACGCTTGAATCAAATTAATCCGTATGCCCTAATGCCCCAAGACTATCTTCAGGTCCGATGATGTATCAAAGTATTGCCGATAAACGTCTACATTTGAAAATGTGATACTCCGTGTTGTTAAATTGGGTCTTGTTTATCTGCCTTTATAAATTTTGGTTTTGCTTTCTAATAATAAAAAAAAACTTTAAAATTTATATATAAAGCACGAAGAACAAAAACTTTGCAAGATATCACAAGAAAAGTGGCGAAAAAATTTAAAGTATCATACTAATTGCAGTCTAATGGGCTTTACAAATATTGTCTTTCCAATCACTTCTTTCCCAGTGCATCTTGATTTTTATGTTGTGCTCTTACAAACCTCGTTATAAAGTCTGTATAATGGAAAGTCTAGTGAGAAAAAATTGGAGCCATGCTATTAAACAATAAAGAAATACCTTTATTATCTCGGTATTAGTCATTCCCAGATATAAACCAATTTTGCGGTTGAAATCACGCAATTTGATTGAAATCGGTCTAGCCAAATACTGCATTTTTAATCTCATTTGCTGTGATATTTTGTTAAACTTGATTTTGGTTAGCTGATTTATCAAGGAATTTTTAAAAAGTTAAAAATTCCAAGACACCATTTGTTTATAGAAGCACTAGCTATAACCAGATTGGAGTGAGGGGTCCTGGAGTTAAACTTGTTTAAGTAAAGTTATTCTTTTCTGTTATCTCAATAGTTCTGATATGCATAGTTCGAACCGATAGTTTTTTGTAATAAAAACTGTAACCAGTTTTGACAAAAATGTTTATTCCAGTCGTTAAAATTATTTTGAATTATTTGCCTTTGAAAAGTTATACTGTTCGGATGGAAAATTGGTTAAAGTCGTTAGTTAAAATTACAGTCAATGATATAAATGTACGTATGAATGAGATATAAGATATTCTTTCTCTTCGAAAGGTTATGGGATAATTTTTTGGCCTTATTTTGTTTTCAGAATCTATAGCTGGTCTTTTTCCCTTTGCTTCTTTTCGAGCCAATGTTTCCCTTCCTGGTTTAAGCCCCCCTTAGAAAATCTAAAACTGC